ACAGTGTAAGAGGGAGAGAGACGAGGCAGGGGAAAGGAATGAGAGATATAAATAAACTGACAATGAGAAGGGGGAGGCTAAGTTTGAATCCAACTTTCCACTTTTTTTAATATTACAAAACCTTTCGAACTCCTGCAAACATTTCTATAACCCTTAAACTCATCAGTGTTAATATTAATAAATATTCCCCTTTAGATCTTTCGTTTTTTTGGTATTCCAGTATTTGAAAATGCTTAGGCGTGTAAAGCTGTACCTGATGGATCCGTGGATGTTGAGATTTGCTCCTCCTTTTGACCTTTTAGATAAAAATCTTTTGCTAGCATCTTAAAAAATACACTTCATATAAAAAATTGTCCCTGATCACTCATCCCAATCCCAAAAAATTAAATGAATGATTGTTTTAGAATAGTTTAATGTGAATGAAAACTGTCTGTGTTTTGAGATATTTGTCTGCAGAAGAGTAGAAACACACATCCCATAAGACTGACATTGCTTATATGAATATTTGCATATAAAGCAAAGCACCCTATGGGAATGGTAACAGGTCTAATGAATTGAGTTTAATTTTAGGTGGTCTTTAAAGGTCACAGGGATATTATGTATCTACACGTGTTATCAGAAATGTACTGCAACTGTTGTTTTTTTAGTTTTGTTTCATCCGTTTTCAGACTTCTTCCATTGAGTCCATTTTTGTGTCACCAGAATTAGCAAACCGGCAAAAATTGTGCAATAATTTTCCACTCATTGTGTGGCTGGTTGGCTGCATTCTGATCCTAATCACAACACCGTATACTTTTGTAACATTTAAAATGAGTAGCACACAAGTAAAGCTCACATACTAGTTAGATTTCTAGACGAGACAATGCACGCTCACTCAAACAGATAGATGTGCACAAAGAAATCTTTGTTGTAGACAAGATTGTTCTTTGGCCCCTCTTTTTATTTATTTGACTTTCTAAATTATCCACCAAAGCCAGGGAAATGTCATCCTAAAAGATCACGAGTGAGATATTTAAAAGTATTTGCACCTATGCTGAACTGGAGGTATTCCTGTACAGGGAGCGATGGCTGCCGTGATCCTGGGTTAGCTTTTGTGTTAGTGGCACACTTACACACACTTACACACACACACACACACATAGGCTGACTGCATGCGACAGTATGATGTATGGTCTCTTTCCCATTTGCTTTCAAAACCCCTCCCATTTTATGAAAAAATGAC